CATCAAGATAAGAATTTGATTTTGTTTGTTTTTGTCTTTCTGAGACAGGGTCTCGCTATGCAGTTCAGGCTGGCCTTGAGCTCACTTTGTAGCCCAGGCTGGTCTCAAACTTGCAATGTAATCCCAAGTGCTGGGATTACAGGGGTGTACCACCATGCCAGGCTAAGATAAGAATTTGAGAAGGATAGAATTCAACCCAGAATAATATAATTAAAAAATCAGCAAAAAACAATAAAATATAATGTGATGTAATATTTAAAGACAAAATAAAACACACAACTTCAAAAACATACATATCTGTTGCTGAAGCCACCAGTGTGGTGTTCTGTTATGGCAGCCTTAGCAAAAGGGAAGCCTCCCCTCTGAATATTTGCGCAGGCCTCCTCACACAGTGTGTATCCCGCACAGAAATGTTGTGCTTCGTTTTTCTTTAGTAAGTTTTTGTTTTTCTGTAGTAAGTTTCTGAGATCTTAGAATCTACAATGTATCATGAAGGAAAAGATAATTTTGCTGTGAGCATCCAGCTATATCTAGGAACTAGAACATTATCTATTTTTAATGGAGATGTTCATCCTAGAAAATATTATCGCTCACTTCCAAAATCATGCACCGAATGGAAAACTGGTGTGAGTCAGAGTGCAGTGTGACCAGGAAACTTGTATTTGGTTAACTGTCCTCACCCAGTATCTCGTGTGTCCATCTGTACTGCGGGGGTGGTCACACTGGGGGCCACAACACTTGGATTCTTTGGTCCCATGCCACAGAACTTACATGAAATCACAGAGAAATACTAGCAGATGTCATGTAAGTCTGGGGAGATTAGTTAGAAGTCAGAGTCAATTCCAAGACAGGTCCTGACAACTTCAATGAGTGGAGACAAATGAAGTGATAAAACTTAACAGGGAAAATGGATGTTGTACACCGGGGTCCAGAAATACTTACTGGAAAAATATAAGCAAAAGGGAGAGTTGGCTTTACAAAGACAACATTATAGATTTTGGTGAAATTTTTAACTGGTGATAAGGACTGTGCGGTTCGCTAATGTGCTTACTATGAGTTAATATATTATTAAACTACACCACAAGCATTACAGTAACTCAAGAGAAAGATGATAATCCTATTTTAGTCAAGCCTGTCTAGACTTCATCTGGAACATTTTGTCTCCAGGTGAGACACTTGAAAGTACAATGCTAAAATAGTGAATACATTTAATTCCATGTCAAATGAGGACTAGTACTACAACTTGAAAATATTAGCCAGGATAAAACAAGACTGAAGAGAGAGACAAGCTTGTCTTTTAACATATGGAAGGCTGCCATTTGGAAAGGCTTTTGGCATATCCCCATGGCCCCAAGTGGGAGGATCAAGTTGGCCTAGCTAACTCCCCTTCATCCTTCAGAAAACAATCGCTTCCTCAGGGAGGCCTCCCCTGGCTCGCAGCCGGGCTCCTGGCTGCACTGTGCTCTGTGAGGCAGCAATCCTACTTCTAACTGTTTGTCCAATCACGTCAGCTCTGAGTCTTCGTCCATCTCGGCTGCTGTAACAAATACTAGGTGGCTGATAAACAGCGGGAATTTATATCTCATAGTTCTGAAGGCTGAATGTCCAAGATCATGACTGCTTCACAATCTGGTGAGGTTCACAGATGGTACCTTCTCGCTCTGACCTCACACAGAATAGAGGTGCAGGGTCTCACTTTTGCCCCTTTTATAGTGACATTAATCCTGACTGGGAGACTTCTGCTCTCGTGAGCTAATCCTCTCCTAATACCTTCCTCTTGGGAGTTAGGATTTCAACAGACACAAATACTAAGACCACAAGCCTCAGATAGATTGCAAGTTCCCAGATAGGGGGGACTATGTCTCATGTGTTAGTCCTAGAACATACAAACCTAGCACAGATGAAAGACTCCATGAGAAATGACTGATTTAACAGGAAGACATATTTTAAACAGAGTTTTGCAAAAGCTCACAGGCTGTCTTAAGAGAAGCCTCTTCCTTTGCTAAGAGGCCCTTGTTCTGACCATGACATCAGGCTGAGGGAATTAAAATGACTGAACTAAATGGATTTTAGTGTCTTTGTCAACCAAAGACCTGTGGCTTGAATCCTGCTGGGAAAGCTGTGCTTATTATACTATAGATTTCATTCTAGCACATCAACTAAATTCTGACGCAGTTTGGAAAACTTTAGTAACACATTTCTACAAAATTATTTCTGCTCAAACCCACATTTTACTTGGTTTCTCTCTATTTTTTTTTTCTTTTTTCCCTACTCTCCAAAGCTGACGAATAATAATTCCACTTTATAGTAAGGATATAAAGCTTCAGAAAACATAGCAGCAGATAGAGAGGGGAAGTCAGTCTCAGAGAAGAGAAAAATATGTCTGAGATTCTCCCATCAACTGTGCCAAAAGTAAATGCAGATTTGATAAATGATACAAAGTCATTACCTCCCCATTTCCCTTTCTGCTGATCTGATTTTTTACGAGAGCCCAATTTTCCATGGAAACAGATCAGACTTACAGCAAATATAAAGATTGCATCTTTTATTTATAAGGCAGAAAACTACCCAAATACTTTTCATTAGAACTGTGCGCCCTGTAATACTGGCTCTCAGAGTATTAGTCAAGCATTCCAAAACTCTGGTTGTTCCTGGGGGAATTAATCAGTAAAGACCTTGAAGGTCAGTCTCCTCAGGAGTTACGAAGAGCCTCAGTTCTGACCTTGGTCATTCGGTGCAGTTTGACGAAGTCTCGGGTGAAGCTGTGAGGAACGTGGGCAGCATCACATGCCCGTTGCCTCTCCTGCACTCTCGGCTTTCCTCCTGGAGCCCACCTTCTGTGGGACTCTCATCTACCCCGAATCAATTTGTAGACAATTGTGGAATTAGGGAAATACTGTCATTGACCAGAGAAGTAAAAACGCAAACATAACTTGTTTATTTTGAATCCTAGTACATCCCTTGAGAAGACTGTGAAAACGCGAGAGGTGGAACAGGCTCAAGGTGATACAGAGAGTGACGGCGGGAAGGTGAGAGCCCAGAGGAGAGAGGATGGCCACCAGTGCGCTCACACGCCAGCAAAAGCTGAGACAGAGGCACCTGCGGACACAGAGGGTGGTGCTCCTCTGCGTCCCAGACGGAGACCACTGTTCTGACCTCTGAATTCAATGCCTGACTCCTTTGAGGACTCAATTCTCTGAGGATGAGGAAGACAAAGATGGGATCATAGAGAAGAAAAAAGAGTATGCGGAGTAGCTGGGTGTGGCGGCAAATCCCTATTCCTAGTACTTGGGAGGCTAAGGTAGGAGGATCACCTTGAATTGAAGACCAGCCTGAACTATGCAGCAGTGAGACCCTGTCTGGAAAGAAAGAAAGAAAGAAAGAAAGAAAGAAAGAAAGAAAGA